AAACAAGTATATAAGCGAATTTATAAGCAAGTATATAAGCAAGTAAATAAGCAAGTATATAAGCAAGTATATAAGTAAGTATATAAGCAAGTATATAGCAAGTATATAAGCAAGTATATAGAAAAGTATATAAGCAAGTATATAAGCAAGTAAATAAGCAAGTATATAAGCAAATATATAAGTAATTATATAAGCAAGTATATATGCAATTATATAAGCAAGTATATAAGCAAGTACATAAGCAAGTATATAAGCAAGTATATAAGCAAGTATATAAGCAAGTATATAAGCAAGTATATAAGCAAGTATATAAGCAAGTATATAGCAAGATATAAGCAAGTATATAAGCAAGTATATAAGAAAGTATATAAGCAAGTATATATGCAAGTATATAGAAAAGTATATAAGCAAGTATATAAGCAAGTATATATGCAAGTATATAAACAAGTATATAAGCAAGTATATAAGCAAGTATATAAGCAAGTATATAAGCGAATTTATAAGCAAGTATATAAACAAGTATATAGGCAAGTATATAAGCAAGTATATAAGCAAGTATATAGAACAAGTATATAAGCAAGTATATAGGCAAGTATAAAAGCAATTATATAAGCAAGTATATAAGCAAGTATATAAGCAAGTATATAAGCAAGTATATAAGCAAGTATATAATCAAGTATATAAGCAAGTATATAAGCAAGTATATAAGCAAGTATATAAGCAAGTATATAAGCAAGTATATAAGCAAGTATATAAGCAAGTATATAGCAAGTATATAAGCAAGTATATAAGCAAGTATATAAGCAAGTATATAGTCAAGTATATAGGCAAGTATATAAGCAAATATATAAGCAAGTATATAAGCAAGTATATAAGCAAGTATATAAGCAAGTATATAAGCAATAATATAAGCAAGTATATAAGCAAGTATATAAGCAAGTATATAAGCAAGTATATAAGAAGTATATATGCAAGTATATAGAAAAGTATATAAGCAAGTATATAAGCGAATATAAGAGCAAGTATATAAGCAACTATATAAGCAAGTATATAAGCATGTATATGAGCAAGTATATAAGCAAGTATATAAGCAAGTATATAACCAAGTATATAAGCAAGTATATAAGCAAGTATATAAGCAAGTATATAAGCAAATATATAAGCAAGTATACAAGCAAGTATATAAACGAGTATACACGCAAGTATATGAGCAAGTATATAAGCATGTATATAAGCAAGTATATAAGCAAGTATATAAGCGTGTATATAAGCAAGTATATAAGCAAGTAATTAAGCAAGTATATAAGCAAGTAAATAAGCAAGTTTTTTAAGCAAGTGTATAAGCAAGTATATAAGCAAGTATACAGTAAGTATATAAACAAGTAGATATGCAAGTATATAAGTCCTGCCGCCTTATAGGGGTAGGAAACTGTGAATGGCCCAATGGATTTTGTCCATCGTTACCACTCTCTGTGCTAAATTGCAGTCTTCTACTGTTGGTGTCAGTATGTCGTCATGCCAGCGATTTGCCTCCTGGGTTACGCAGCAACCTGGTAAGTGCGTTTTAATTAGGATGCGTTGGGCTTCATCCGGCGATGTTGAGTAGCTACCGTCGGGTTTCTTTAGAGACATGGATCCCGACGTGTTCTGTTTAGCTAGAATTTCCTTATCCTATTTGCTTGTTCGCAGGTTTCTATGTTGCCACAGAATTTACGCCACCCAGTCGAGCGTCGATACCTGATACATTTTTTGTATTCAGACTTAGCTTTCTTATATAATAGCCAGTCTTCATCCATTGAGGTATTCATGGCCCTATTTAGGGCTTTTCTTACCTTCTTACGTTTCCTATCGAGTTCTTCACCCCACCACTGTTGCTTTACCTCGGCATGCCTTGGTGGAGTGATTTCTGGACATGATTCATGGTAGCTATCTATCATGGCCTTAGTAACAGCTGCTACCTGTTCTTCTAGGAGCGACTGATCTGCTATAGTATTTATCCCCTCAGAACCCGCGAGTGAAGACGTCAGCCTATTTAGGTATTTTGTTTTATCCGTCTTGCGGGGATTTCTCCATGGTGGTGTAGAGGGGACATCGACCTGTAGTGCGAAGCAGATCCATCTATGGTCTGAGCATGAGGCCTCTTTCGACACATGCCATCGCGTAATTAGTTTGGCTGCTCCTTCTGTTGCAAGTATGAGGTCGATTATAGTGCGACAGTGTTTGTTTATGAAAGTAGGTTCAGAACCTATGTTTAAAATGGTTAGGTTAGTGCTAAATAAATATTCAACAATAACCTTACCTCGTTCATTTGGTTTTTCCATTCCCCAAAGGGGATGATGCGCGTTGGAGTCCGTCCCGATCACAACCTCTAGTCCGGTCCTCTCGCAGAAGTTCACCAGCCTGCCGAGGTCATGAGGGGGGAGGAGTGTCTTCCTACGGCATGTAGGCCGAGGCGACGACTAATCTTCTCTCCTGTGTGTATTGTATTGACACGGCATACATGTCTCTAGAACAGAAATCTGTTAATGGTTGTGCACAGATATCTTTAGTAGTGTAGATACACGCTCTAGGCTTGTCGTGTTCAGAGCTGTAGAATAGCTTACCTTTTAGGTTGTTTAGGCCTTTAATTTTACCAGCCCCAACCCACGGCTCCTGGATTAAGGCTATGGCAGTCCTTTGAACCTCCAACCACTTGCGTAATTGAGCCGACGCAGTTTCGCTGTGGTGGAGGTTGGCCTGCACTAGGCTAGTTTTGGACGAAGGTCACGCCATCATTGATCGCGTCCTCCCCGTCCCGGCTTGTGTAGTGGCTCCGGTATCCATAACTTCCGGGTTGTTTCTACCTCTTTGCTTGGTGGAGTGTCAAAGAATTTACCTCCACGACCCTGGAATTTTACGTATACCGCCCCGCATACACATGCGAGACGGCGTCCGGCCTTCATCAGGGTCGGGATATGATCCTCCGGCACCGAAACAACGAGGAACCACCCGTCCGTCTGCTTATCAGCCTTGAGTAACAGCCAGTCCCTGATGTTAACCCAGCGGTTCTGGTACGCCAGCACGCGACCAATGTCACGTGAGTCTTTCCAGGCTCCTTGGGCATCAGGGATTAGGATACCACATTTGACTCTTTGTGGTATCTCTGACTGTTTCTTTATTGTCAGCAAGGTGTTGGATTTGAGATCGGGGGTAGCAATATTCCCCTTCAACCAGTCCAGAGCCTTCTGATCGTCGCACCACAGTTTCAGGACACCCTCCGTATAAACGGGTTTGCCCCTAAAACTGGGCCCGACGCATCAGGGTCCTGGCTACTCCACGCCTCGCTGATTATCTTCCTCTGTATTGCTACGAGGATGTCGTCTGCTACTTCCTTCGTACTTCCTTCGTAATGTGACCTGGCGCGCACACGTTAAGGCCACACCCAAATCTGCTCTAGCAGCGGAAGCGTAGCTCGTTCTTGCAGCCTTTGGTTGCTGTTCGAGTCGCACTTTTTTGTGTTCCCCTCTAGGCCAGGTGGACTCTTCCAGCATCCTTTTGACTGCTCTTTCCTTCTTCCCAGAACGCTTGGCCGCTCGCTGCTTCCTGGCGGATATCCTAGATCTGGTTCCCGCGGCCGCGACTTCCACTTGGGTTGGATTTTTATCCTTCCCAGCTTCAGTGCGGCTACTGGTTCCAGCTCCAAGCACCCCAGTCGCAGTAGCTTGCCCAGCCTCCTTGGTTTTAGTTTCGGAAGCAGCCAATGCGGCTCGTTCTCTTCGGCCTTTTTCCCGCTGCTTCTTGTTCTTCTTTTTGGCCTTTCCACTACTGCCTGCAGGGATAGACCCTCCTGATGGTCCGTCAGGTCGGCAAGTCACCTTTTTGGGTGCCTTGCCTTTCCCCTTACGGAAAGCGTTCTTGCTGTTTCCACATAATATTTTGTTCTTTAAAATTCATCCCCCCGGCTTCCCACCCTCCATGGAGCCCGCACCTTTGGGAACGCCCTATTTCAGGCATTAGGATTACCGGGAGAATATAGGGACGCGAAGTTGGCTCACAGCGCGACATCGGGAGCTCGACCCAGCTGGTAGATGGGTCTGACAAGGCCCATCCCCACCACCCGAATAAACTGTCACTTGCTCCGTTAGCATGACCTTTACCACCACCCAGCCCCCTTTTCAGGAAAACTAGGCAGCCCCCACATTCCTCGCCTGCGACCCTCTGACGGGGCGCTTGGCCATTTCCCTATCTGTGGCTAGCAGATAGGGCCACCGTTTAGCTTGAAATCCGGACCAAAGAGGGCGTGTTGCCTCTCGCCACTATATACCCCAGCGACGATCGGCTCAACCCTCCAGGACTCCTTCATCCCCGCGTACGGCGCTCGACTGCGCAGGTCCTAGCGTAGGTGGGTGTGTTAGTCCACCGGATACACCCACTCTCTCCGGCGGAACCGTCCCCTCCTCCTTTCTCATCCGGGCATACACATAAGCAAGTATATAAGCAAGTATATAAGCAAGTATATAAGCAAGTAAATAAGCAAGTATATAAGCAAGTATATAAGCAAGTATATAAGCAAGTATATAAGCAAGTATATAAGAGAGAAATTTTGGCGGTTTAAGATTTTCTAAACTTAAGATCTTGCGTATACTATTTGCCAATCGGATAATCATCAGTGAAACAAGCATCGCAATATTGTGGTATAGCATTGTTACGCACCTCTCCTTTAACAGCCTGATATAGTCCATCAATACTCAAGAAGGCTAGGCTATCTACTCCTATAACTTCCTTAATTTCCTCTACAGATTTATTTGCAGCAATTAAATCTTTGCACCCTGGCGTATCTATTCCATAAAAACAAGAATGCTTAATTGGTGGGCTTGAAATTTTGAGGTGAATCTCTTTTACTCCGGCATCCTTTAGCATCACTATTATATTTCTGAGCGTACTACCACGCACTATACTATCATCTATTAAAATTATGTTTTTATCTTTCAAAGTGTGCTTATTAGCATTGAATTTTAATTTTATTCTAACTTTACGTACTTCAGCGTTGGTTGTATAAAAGTTCTTCCTATGTAATGATTACGAATTATCCCCAGTTCCATAGGTAATCCTGAATGCTTTGCATATCCAATAGCTGCAGGTATTCCAGAATCAGGTATTGGTACAACCATATTTACATTGTTTTTTGGTGGGCTCTCTTCTACAAGTATTCTTCCTATTTCTTTTCTTATATCATATATGGACCTATTCTCCATTATGCTGTCTGGTCTCGAAAAGTAAACGTATTCAAAAATACAAAAACTTGATTTTTGCTGTGGGAAAGGAAACATTGAGGCTAGCTTGCTATCTGAACTTATGGTAACTAATTCTCCGGGTTCTATTTCTCTAATAAACTCTGCATTTATTATATCAAGAGCACAAGTTTCAGATGCAAGAACGTAAGAACCGTTTAATTTTCCTAAAACAAGAGGTCTAATTCGAGATGGATCACGTACTCCAATAACTACTTCTTGATTGATTACCACAAAAGAATAAGCACCTTGTATTTGCTTTAATGCATATATAAAACTCTCTAAAAAGCTATCTTTTTCACCGCTTGCTGTCAGATGCACTACTACTTCTGTATCAATATCTGACTGAAAAACGCACTCTTGTTTAATTAATTGTTCGCGTATCGGAGAAATATTAATTAAATTACCATTATGTGCTATGGCGAAATCCCTAAATTTGTCACTTTTGCCAAGCATGGGCTGCACTCCAAATTTACTACCACTTGTTGAGTATCGAACGTGACCTATTGCACAATCTCCAGGTAAGGATTTCTTTATTTCATCTATATTATCAAATACGCTGCTCACTTGAGCTTGAAAGTGATAAGAGTGCAACTTATAGTTGTTACTGGTTACTACGCCAAAAGACTCTTGACCTCTATGCTGCAAAGCGTGGAGAGCAAGTATAGAGTTAAATGCAGCATCGTTATTGCAGCTTATACCAAATACTCCACATTCCTCACGCATTTCATCTAGCATAAAAAACTATTAAGTAAAGTTTAATTTTACTTTAGCATAGGTGAAATACAAGCATTTTAGTTGTTCATCTACTTTTATTGCCAGCAATAATCCTATGCATATCAAGCTTGCAGCAGTTGTACTTCCTCCATAGGAAAGAAATGGCAGTGGATCGCCTATCACAGACAAGAGGCCTATTGACATTCCAATGTTTATAAAAAAATGAGCGCCAAAAAAAGCAAAAATCCCGATAGATACTAACTTAGAAAAATAATTTTTCGACCTATAAGCGATAGAGAAAATTATGCCAAGTAATGAGGTATAAAGCAAAATTAAAGGCATGCTACCTAAAAAGCCCCACTCCTCACTCAGAACTGCAAAAGCAAAATCCGTACGTTTCTCCGGCAAAAATCCAAGTTGAGTTTGAATTCCGTTAACAAAGCCCTTACCAAGCAAACCTCCTGAACCAATAGCTATCTGAGATTGCTGCGCATTATAACCTATTCCAAGTGGATCCAATGATGAATCCAAAAACGACAATATCCTTTGCTTGTGACAAGGACGTAAAAAAGGCCAAATAGCAGGTACTGCAAAAATGCCAAGCGTCCCACAAATTACTAAATGAGCTCTTTTTATTACTGCTGTGAATATAATTGATGCTCCTATAAACAACATTATCACAGCTGTGCCTAAATTAGGTTGCTTTAACACCAAGAATACAGGCAAGAAAATAATTATTACCGCCTTAAGCAATCTTTTAAATTCCATCATTTTATACACACTTTGCTTATCAAAATAACGAGCAAGCGCAAGTATTAAGCCTACTTTTGTAAATTCTGATGGTTGCAAACTAATTGAACCAATTCTTATCCACCTCGTCGCACCCATTATGTGCGAGCCAAAAAAATTTACTGCTAATAGTGAAATCGCTTCTGCTATATAAAAAAGTAGGCGTGCTTCAAATAAAAATCTATCTCTATGAATGACATAGCTATAGCGAGTAGGAAAAAGAAGGAAAATATGACTATTTGGTGAATTGCAAATGGTACCCACTTTCCTCCAGCAGAAGAGTATTGAACAGCAATGCCAACGCAAAACAGCACTATCACGTTAATGACTAATAACCAATGAATCTTCTTCAGCCTATCCACACTTATAACCTTAAAGTATAGTAAAATATGAAACAAAGATAAAAATAAAAAAACCAACTTCTCAACTACTAACCGAATTGGAGTGCTATATATTCCAGTTACTATTGTTAAAGTTGCCATAAACAATAGGCAGAAAAGCATAGGAAATGGCACATCATTAATTTTTTCCGGTGTCATTCCAGCGCTTGATGCTGCACTATTTTCAAAATACATTTTCTCTACCATCTTCCACATGTATATTAGTGCAAGAAAAGAACCGGCAGCACAGGCTATCAGGGAAATCCACGCGCGAGATTCCATAACTGCTTTCATTATATACCATTTGCTTACAAAGCCATTTGTTAGCGGCACACCGACTAATGCTAAACTAAGTAGAGTAAACGCAAGTGCTGTATAAGGCATTGATTTCTTGATTCCCGATAAATTCTCTATTTTTGTTGTATCAAATTTGTAAGAAATACATCCTGCAGCCATGAATAAAGATATTTTTATTATGCTGTGGTTTACTATGTGACGAATTGCTGCAAATACACCTGTTTTTGAGTTAAAACTCAGTGCTAAAATTATATAACCAATTTGGCTGACACTAGAACTAGCAAGGAGTCTTCTTATATCTTTTGCAGTTATTGCAGATATTGACCCAAATATAACAGCGCAAAGTGCGAGGATAATTATCACGTTACTTAGTGATGGTTTAAATAAGAAGAAATTCTGATGGAAAACAGTATAGAAGATCCTAATGAAAACATATATCATCACTTTTGTCACTGTGCCTGAAAAGAATATGCTAATAATGAAACTTGGCGCCTCACTATATGCATCAATCAGCCACCTGCTTAATGGAAACAGTGCCATTTTAATTGAGAGACCAACAAAAATGAACAATGTGCCAAGTTTTATGATGTTGTTATCGTATAATGGAACTATTCTTTCAGCCATGTCAGACATATTGAGCGTTCCTGTCATGGAGTACAAAAGCCCAACACCAAACAAGTAAAACGTTGCTCCTATAGTGCCACTAATTAGATATTCTAATGCTGCAACCAAGGCTTTTTTATCCCTTCCCATTGAAACTAACACATAAGAAGTAAGAGATGAAATTTCCAAAAAAAACATAAAGATTGAATATGTCGTTTGTTACTAGAATCCCGAGCAGTCCGCTTAAGCACAGTAGAAATAGAGAGTAAAAACCAGTGATTTTGTTTTTGCTAATTTCTTTTTCAGCGCTATAAAATTCACCAAAGGTAGAACCAAGGAGTTTAACACGTCGATTCTTAACTCTATTCCATGCGGAGGAGACCAATTTCCAAGGTGATAAGTTATTATCTCGCCTCTATATGTTTTTATGAGTAGTATTGATGGAATGATAAGAGTGATTGTTATTGCAATAAAAGAAATAAAGCAAGATACCTTGTGTTTCTTGGTAAGAAAGCAAAACATTGATGCAATTATTGGTATAATAACTTGTAAAATTGGTAATTGCATTAAATTGTTGTTAATATATCGTTAAAGTATTATTATATATAATACTTTTTGTTTTAATACTCTTATGTTAGTTTAGTTTAGTTTGCGACGGGCTGTTTTCCGCAACTCCACGTCTATGCGCGTATTTTGCGTGTGGGCAGGAATAATGTGATTATTCGAGCCATGAGATCTCCCCGAAGAAGCTCAACAGTCCCTTGATGTTGCATGCAACTTCGGGGAGTGATCCCGGCGTGCCGAGATGTTTAGCCCTGTACGTAGCGACCTCCGGACATTTCAGTAGCACGTGGGCCGCCGTTTCTTCCTCCCCCATACATGCCCTGCACAGGGAACTATCTGTAACACCTATAGTAAATAAATGTTTGTTAAAGGTGCCGTGTCCTGTGATAGCACTTGTTACTATCCTGATCTGCGGCTTGTTCAGTCTCATTAGAACTTTGGTTAAGCGACTGTTTATTACAGGTAGGGCCTCCCTAGCTTGTCTACAGTCTACTAGATTTTTCCAAAGCTGAGCGTGTTGATTAGTGAAGTGTCTACGTACCATTGAACGAACGTTACCAAAGGGGATTGGTATGATTGGTTCCGGCCCTATAGTGGCCAGAGCCGATCCTCTTCTGGCCAGTTCGTCCGCTGCATCGTTGCCTCTGTGTCCCTTTATCCATTGCAGAGTCACATTGTTGTTTTTACATACCTCATTTAATCGTTGATGGCATTCATATATTAGTCCCGAGTTCACCCCATTGCAACTCAGAACTTGTAGTACCGCCCTACTGTCGGTCAGTATTCTGATGGGGAAGTCATTAACCTTCCTAGCATCTATTGCTATGGCCGCTTGAATGATACCCATACATTCTGCCTGAAAGACCGTGTTATAGGTACCCAGCGGTGTGCAAATGTAAATATTGAGGTCTTCAGAGAAAGCTCCAGAACCTACACCTTCATTTGTTTTAGAACCATCGGTGAAAATTCTAAGCTCTTTTGGGCTTAATCCTTCCGGCTGGCTGTTTTCATTTAATTGTATCTTGTATTTCTTATCGAAAACAAATTGTTCAGGAATCCTATCGTGTTTGGCTTGTAGGATAGGAATTTCTGAGTGAATTCTATCAATTATGCCTGTATGAGGGACACTATTCTTACTCCAAAGATTTAGGGTCTTGAGTCTGATGGCAGCTAAAGTCGCTTCTTGTTGTATATGTAGATGAAGCGGAGTTAGCTCCAGCATCGCTTCCAAGGCTGCTGTTGGCGTAGTTCTTATGCAGCCTGTGGCAGCCATACATGCCAGTCTCTGGTAGCGCTGAAGCTTCTTAATTGTGGTGGCTTCATTGGTCTTGGTCCACCATACCAGAGCGCCGTATGTGATCATGGGCCGAATTACAGTTTTGTAAAGCCACAGTATGATTTTTGGAGTCCCCATCTTTTGCCAATCATGTTTCTGCATTGAAAACAAAATCAACAAAGCTAGTATAACTTTCTGGCGAAAGTTATACTAGCTTATTCCAGTTAAGTTTGCTGTCCAAGATAAGACCTAAATATTTTACCTCAGAGGATAGCTGGAGTTTTGTGCTGAAAAGACTTGGAAGATGATAGTTATTCAGCATTCGTTTTTGTGTGAACATTACTAAAACCGTTTTATTTGGGTTGACTGTTAATTTGTATTCCCTGCACCATCTTTCCACTATACGGAGAGCCGCTTGGGTCAGGTCGCACACTATGCTTGCTGTCTTTCCCGAGACCAGTATATTGTCAGGTCATCAGCATAACCTACTGTATAGAAGTGATTAGTATTTAATTTGCTGAGGAGTTCATTAATGACCATATTCCACAGGAGAGGTGAGAGGACCCCACCCTGCGGGCAGCCTTTCTTAATTAGGATTGGTTGAGATTCACCAGCAATCTTTATTATTCGTGTACTGAGCATGCAATAAAAATAAATACTCTTATGTTATCTAAAATTTGTAACGCAATAAAACGCCTATTACGAAGAGAAGATAAATTTGTAGGAAGAGATGAAAATGGAAATTCTTACTATGAATCAAGTAAAGGGAAAAGGTGGATTATGTGTAGCAATGTTTCTGAGCCTACAACAGTGCCTCCGGAATGGCATATATGGCTTCACTATACTGATAATGTAGTACCAGTTAATAATAAAAAAGAAAAGTAAAACATACTCCTAATTTAACGGGTACAAAGGATGCATACTATCCAAACCAAAAAGTGAAAAATTACTGTAAAAGCTGGAGTCCTGATAACTAAAGATGAGAAGGTCAAATATACTTGAAATAACCGCTGGATTATTTGTATTAGTTTTCACTATTTTTCTGATTTTCTTTGCTATTGATAAGCTATCTTACATAAAGAAAGACTATAAGGATTGCT